GAGGGGGAAATGGAGTCCATGGCTCCCTTTTAGAATGTACAAGGGAAGGTCGAATTCCAAACTTTTTTCTCAAGTATACCCATTACCAAAACATATGCGCCACTTTGGGACACATGAGCATAGCCGCCGCACGTGGCTAAAGTCTACCCAAACTCTGTTTTTTTTTTTTTTTAGTTCCATGAGCAAGTCCTTTCTTATAAGTCAAACTCCTAATCTTGTTCCAAGATGAGGTGGATCTAGGATTTGAACTTTCTATTATTGAGCAAAATCAATTACATTTGTATTTTCCAGTTGAGTCTAAGGAAAGTTACTGATCCCAAATATTCCAAGTTCCTAAGTTGGTCACTTCAACTAAACACCACCAGGTACAAAGGAGAGTCCAAAACTGAGTAAGTTAACTACTCAAAATTGCAAACAAAAATTCAACTGGAATTGTAAAAATAACTCACTAGATCAAATCAAAGCTATCACCAAAATCCCCAACCACTATAAATTCGATAATTCCAATGTGACAGCAACTTCAACAACTCAAATATAACTATCGAGAAAACTCATAAAACAAACAGATTCAAAATACCAGAAAAATAATAATTCCATAACCGGTACACCACACAGATCATGAAATAACTAAAATCAAATCAATAGAAAGAACAGATGAAAAAACAGATGAAAAAACAGAAAGAGATGTAACCTTTCCGCTGATGATGAGCCAGCAATCTTTGGTCTTGTTGTGCTTAGCGACCTCCTCAAATGCATGAAGTTTCCGATCTGACGCCATTTTTTCCCTGCTACTGCAACACCGGCAAAATCACTTCAAAACACAAAACAAATCGAACTACATAAATACTGCATCAAATAAAATTGAGAATCTCTATGAACTTCTACAAATACTCACGAGAAAGAGACAGAGAGAGAGTTCTTTGGATTCTGTTTCTCTCTCCGATTGTGCACCCAACACCCTTTTTGCGTGTGGAGGCGGAAGTACAGGGTCAATATTATTATAGAAATTCAGATACGAAATTGCCCTTCAATTTTAATTGAAATTACGCCCCCCTTTTTAGATTCCGGACTTTGTTTTTCCCTGGTTAGTGGCTGTTGAAGACTTGAAGTACTACACTGCAATCTCACCTAAATTCAAATTAATTATTCAGATATATTCTAATTTGTAATATTACGTATTTTACTAGATTTTAATATTTTCTGATATGTTCAAATATATGTATTTAGAATACATGGCGTCAAATTTAAGTGTAATTTATTCTAGATACATTGTATCCAAATAAATTCGCACGTATTTGAGATACATAACAAATCTCACTCGCCTTTATCGTCTCTCTCCCATCTCACTCGCCACTGCGAATCATTCCAGATACATGCATATACATGTATCTAATGTGATTCGCATGTATAAATACATACAAATCTCACTCGCCTTCCTCCTCAATTTTGTTCGCCTCTCTCCCTATTTTTGTGTAACTGGTAGCAAAAATATATGAATCTAAGTTGAAGATATACGTAAAATAACTCTTAATTAGTAGTAAGATATGTAATATTTTAAAAGTATAGGTAATAATAATATATATGAGTATGACAATGAAGTATAATTATGTAATTTTTCTTTTTATATATACGAGATAAAAAAATTATTTTCTTTTATTCAAATTATAACATATGAGAAACATTGTTTTTTTAATTTGTGATTATACAAGATAAAATTGATAAGGACATTTCATGAAATTAGTTAGTTTATCCTCTCTGTATTTAATTAGCTACATTCACCATTTTCCTATAAATATTAAAATACAATAATTTTAAACTTAATTAATATTTATAGTCAAACATAAAATAAAATAATTTTATATTTTATTTTAAAATTATTTAATAGTGTTTCAATATAGCTGGGAGGCTGTGATCCATCTATTTTTATTAAAAACATGCCACAGTGAAAGTCACGTGTGTATTACCATTTTCTTATTTTTGTCCATTATTGTGATGTGCCAGCCAGCCAGCCAGAAAAGTTTTTTCTTCTATTTTTCTGGGGTTATGACTTTTAGTTGTGCTCTACGTCCTATATAACGGACATCGAACACTTTCTATGTTATACGATAATTAAGAAATTATGAGTATATTAATTAATTTTATTAATTTTTTTTTTATTCATATTTTTTAGTCTTTTTCTAAAAAATAAAATAAATCTACAAAATTTTGTTTAAACTTTCAAAGGTCATATTAGTTGTAGAGGTAAAATGAGAAAAATTAATTAATTATTTCTCAATTTAATAAATAATAAAATAATATGAGACAAATATTTTTAGTAAAATGCTCATCTCACAGAAAGGGTAGGAGTAAATGTAATTGCTCTCTTTTTGGTTAATTACAAGTTGCTTCCATTTGTGTTAAAGAATGACAAAAGTCTCACATTGGTGGTTAATGAGATGGGTGGACTTCTTATAAGGCTTGGGCAATCCTCCTCCCTTTGAGCTAGCTTTTGGGGTGGGAGTTAAGTCTAAGACCTAATTTAACATGGTATCAGAGCAGGGCCCATCTGACCCAATGTTGGGGGGGGCCCAAAATCAAAATTGTCCACGCACCAGATGTTAAGCATTGGGCGTGAGGTGGGGTGTTAAAGAATGACAAAAGTCTCATATTGGTGGTTAGTGATATGAGTGGACTTCTTATAAGGCGTGGACAATCATCCTCCCTTTGAGCTAGTTTTTGGGGTGTGAGTTAGACCTGAGACATAATTTAACAATTTGCTTGCTAAAGTTTTCCAAAGTTAGCGACTTTTCTTCAAAGATTTCTAGTTTCTTTCCAAGGGAAATTCCTGAAGTAACTTTCTTGGCTTTCATATGAAATTTCTATTGAACTTTATTTTTTGTTCATGTGGATAGTCTAGTTTATTAGTCAAGGAAAGGAGAAGACTTTTAATAGAGGTTATCTTAGTCGCTATTAAAAATCACTTATAATCTTTAATGGTCATATTTTGGGATTTTGTAGCAATTTTTGTCACCGCTAAAGGTCTAGTTCTTTTGTAGTGAATCCTATATGAAACGCTTAGGTGAAGGAATTAGTCTCATTTGGCTTGCCACGTCTCTAAAAAAAATAGGTATTTAACTCTTGAGGGTATTTGTGTTCTCTTGAGATAAAAGAAAAGACAACATATAAATGGTCTTTTCCATTATTTTATTAAATAACTATCCCAAAAAAATAAAACCTAACATCTCAAACTTTGTGATGGAACCAACGAGGGTAATGAGGGTTGTGGTGGAATGATAAGTACTCTTTCATCCTTAACCAAGAGGTCTCGGGTTCGAACCCCCTTGGGCACAGAATTGCCTTTAGAGAGTGCTTTACCCCCCAATGTAGGACTTCCCGACGCGAATCCAGATTTAGTCGGGCTCCAATGTGAGTACCGGACACCGGATGAAAATAAAAAAATAAACTTTGTGATGGAGAGAGAAGCATACAAATCGTGTCATGATTTTCACATGGACCTTCCTTCGATAATTATGTTAGGCTTGGAAGTGCACGAATGAGGACCAACTTATTTTTTTTCAATAAAATGATTGTGTATATATAATGTATTGATATTATATAAAAAAAAAAAATTAATTTAATTTTATATGAGTTAATTTGACTAGATACAAAGTTCTTTTTTTTAAAAAAGGAAGAATTTTTTGAAATTTGTGGTCTAAAATAAGTAACAGATATTTGTGTGACTATAAATCATTTTGTTAAGACTAATAAATATATTAAAAATAAATTTTTCATTAAAAGACGTTTGGGCATGCGATTTCATATTGCGATATGAAATTATGAAATGAAATCAGTGTTTGGACATGTGATTTCACGCTGATTCATCTCATGATTTCATATCATGATTTGAAATCTCAAATTCTCCAAAAAGCATGATTCGAGAATTTCAAATCCCGATTTGAGATTTTTTTTAAATGTAAGAAAATTGACCCTCAAGTTTATATTTTGTAAAAACAACCTTACATTTATATCTACTAACCATTTATTTCATATATAAATAAATTAAATTTATAATTCATATCATTACTTTTTAAACCATTTATATCTCATATAACGATTATTCTCACCAACATAAAAATTATTATTACTTCAAATCAATTCCTAGCTACTTTACCATTTATATTCACCAAAATTCATTACTCTTTATCAAATTTATTTACCAACCAAATTGACCAACAAATGACTCAAAATAACAATGTTGGTTCGTCTTCTTGGTCATATGATCGAGAAATACAAATTTAACGTGAGAAAATTGTATGTACTATGTGAGAGTATTATATTAAAAACTAATACACTACAACTTATCTTCAGTTTTTTTTTATTGGATTAAAGTTTATTTGATAAATGTTGGGATAAGGGTCTGAAAAATACCCCAACTTTGATCGGATTTGTTGTTGTGATACTAAACTTTCATAAGGACCTATTACCTTCCTAGACTACTTAATACCGTTTTTTACCCCCTAAACTATTTAATAGTGTATTTTAAAGATATATATGTGCCCACGTGGACACATTACTATTTATAATTTTGGCCATTTATTTTTTTATGGTCCACGTGGGCAAATATATATGTTTAAAATACGGTATTAAATAGTGTAGGGAGGTAATAGGTCCTCATGAAAGTTTAGTAACGCAACAGCAAATTCGACCAAAGTTGGGGTATTTTTCAAATTCTTATCCCATAAATATTGCATGTTTTTTAATAATAGATTTGTAATAGTGATTATGCAATTTTATAAATTTATGCTTATTTAGTAAGATTTTATAAAAAATTGAGACATTTTAAATATTTTTATAACTTATTGAGTTTTTATGTTTTGAGAAAACATAAAACATAAAAAGTCCAAATCACATGTGTTCACATCCGGATCGTCCTAGTTCGAGAAATACGCCCCTAACGGCCTTCGAAGGATGAACATAATTTAGATTTTAGGGTTACAGTAACCTCAAATAATTCTAACTAGAATCAAATACATATTGTAGAGTTCCAACTAGGGGTGTCAATGGGACGGTTCGGTCAGTTATTTTAAAAAATTATACCAGCCCAATTTTTTTTGGTATTTTGTAATGTATAACCAAAAATTAGATTTTTTAAAACCATCCCAATCATATCGGTTTCTCTTCGGTATCAGTATGGTTTGGTTAATTTTTCTTTTAAAATATCACTTCAAAATATAGTATTTTCAAAACATTTCTTTCGCAAGTAAGTTCTTGAGGAAACACTTTAATTCTTCACCAAGAAGTCAAGAATGTACAACCTTTGATGTCGTATTGTTTGATCTTAAACATTTAATAAGAATGCTTGCATATATTTTCTCATATTGTTTGATGGAGTATCTATTATAGTATATTTTAAATTTAAACATAATAAGTAAATGCTAATTAAAGAGCAAAGACCTAAAGTCGTCCGGTCACTATAGGCCTAGGACTTGGGTTATATTTATATTTGAAAAATATTATAAAATATATTTATATATTAGATTTAACATATTGTTAATATATAAAATATATTTACATACATGTAAGGTCATTCAGTTCGGTTTGAGAATTTTTTGGGGTTTTTTTTATAAAGTAAAAAGACCATCCCTATTATTCGGGACGGTTGTACACTTAAATAAAAATCCATGATTTTATTGATTTTTTTTTATATAAATCGGATCGGTCGATCCTTCGTATTCTTTTGACATCCCTATTTCCAACTAGAATTGAAAACGTCCTGCAGAGTCCCACAAATATGTCTACAAATGTTCCCTGCTACAAGGCTTATCGGAGAGCAAACTCGATGAAACTCAAAGACGAGACCTGAAGTACTCATGCTTCCACCTTTACGATTTTGTGACTTCAGATTTACATATTTGATCCGTGAAAAAAGAGATGAAGGACATATTTGGTCTCACTAGGCGTGCCAATTTGTTTGCAACAAAATTTAAAGTGACAAAAAAAATAATTGTGA